ACTCACCGGTTAAGGGCCACTCAAAGAGAACACAGCAGAGTGGGTCCCACTGGCACATGTAAGACCTGTGCTCGTCCGGAGTCACCACTGAGAAACCAGAAGGGCCCCAGAGTGAAGGAAAAGGTCTGACATCCAACAAGGACTCTGATTGCACAATATAGAAAGAGCTCCCACAAAACAAAAACATGAACCAAATAACCGAGTTTTTAAAATGGGAAAGTTGAAAGTCCCGCCACAAGAGAAGATACACAAATGGTCACCGCTGGGAATGAGAAGAAGAGCTTCAGTGAGCTACCCCTTCAGCGCCCCAGAGGGGCTTAAATTAGGAGGGGTGAGGACACAGAACCCCGGCGAGGGTGTGGGCTCGCAGCCTGCAGACAGAACCCGCCGAGGTCTGTACTCGAGGTCCGTGATCTCACTGCTTGTCTGCTTTGTTTCCACTAATGAGAACGTGGTAGGCATTTCTACTTCCGCTCTACGATTTCCATTTTAGAGAAAAATAAATCTCCGTTTCCTTCTTGTCAAAACTGTTTAAACAGTTGAAATGTTTGGTTGAGACATGTCTCACCTGGAACATTGGGGCCCCATCCGGCAGCCCCTCCCGTCAGCTGCCCCCCGGGATGAGACATCCTCACCACACTCCGCGGAAGAAGGTGCAGAACGGCTGCTCTGGGCCCCCGGCCGAGTCCAGGCCTCCTAGGGACAAGTTCAACGCGACGTCTGTGAGCCAGGTGCTCGCCTTTCTTGTAGAAGATCCGGACTCAGTATTCAGTGAGCTGTGTGCGTGAAGTCCTGTTAGTGACCCTCACTTTGCAGACGCTCCCTGAGAACAGGGGCCGTCCACAGAGACGCAGGAGCCCGTCTGAGGGGACAGGACTTGGGAGCCCGTCTCCGGGGAAGCAGGAGCCAGTCCGAGGGGACGTGGAAGCCCGTCTGTGTGGACACGGGAGGAGGGTTGAGCAAAGGGAGCACAGGCTGGCTGCCGCCCCACGCTCCCTCCCGGGGGCGCAGCTCACAGGCAGAGCTGTGCTCCCACGGGAGCTCACTTCCTAAAAATACATGGACTCGTCCCCCCAAAACTCACGACTTTGCTCACATCACCCCTGCGCTCTCCTCTTCATGGGCAGATCACAAATTGTTCAAAATGGTCACTTACGCTATCATTTCCGTGTCTTTACTGCAACCCGGTTTCTGCCGCCGAAGCCATTTCCCCGGTGGTGTGTGTGACCCCGATTGCGCTGAGAGCCACCCTCGGAGACTGGTCTCCTCGCTCCCGCCTCGCTGGCTCCCCGACATCCGGGGGACCCTTCCTGTCCCCCCTCCGCTCCCCTGTGGTGACTGGCGACCTTGCTCCGTGCCACCTCGGGGCTCGGGGCTCTCACCTGCCCCACCCTTCTGCCCCTCAGACGAAGAATCACAAAGACAGGAAATACCCAGTCGCGCTCCAGCCGGATGCTGGGCCCCAAGCACGAGGATGACCACAGATGCACCGCAAACCGGCGTGGAGAGATGCCCTCAGGATTTGGAGCGGACACGTCGAGGACGGACACGATGGTTTTCTTGTTTCTCCTTCACACAACCTGCATTGAGTCGTCACCACTTTCCTAAGGCAACCGAGGAAAGGGGGTGGTTTATTTTATCTGCATTCTCGAGTCTGGTTACGTGGACCTAGACGGGCAAGGGCCGAGGCCTGGTTAGCGTGTGTTTTGTTCTGCGAGTCTGTTCTACCCGGATCCCAAGTCACAGAAGAGGCTGGTCAGCCGGGGTGCAGCCCTCAGCCCTGAAGCGGCCACGGACAGAAGGGGCGACGGGGGGACTCGGGGAAGCCCCCTCCCCTCTGTGCGAGCACCGTCCCTCTCGCACCTTCTGGCCGGCGGCCACAGTGCTGGTGCACACGGGACCATCCGGCGTGGGCATCCTTGGGAGGGAAAAACTGGAGAAAACGCCTTCCTGTTATTCTGGAAAACTCTTTATAGTTTCCATTCGTTTCCTCAGCTGCTGCAAACCTATGCGTGAAACTGTGTCTCTAACCCTGACGGCCAGGGTCCCGAAGTAGAAACTACCCATTTGAGGAAAGAACCAGGGGCTTCGAGGGGGTTTTAAGATGCCATAGGACCCCAGGGGCGCCTGGGTGGCTCAGTCGGTTAAGCGTCCGACTTTCGCTCAGGTCATGATCTCGCAGTTCGTGGGTTCGAGCCCCGCGTCGGGCTCTGTGCTGACTGCCAGCTCGGAGCCTGGAGCCTGTTTCAGTCTGTGACTCCCTCTCTCTCTGACCCTCCCCTGCTCACGCTGTCTCTCTCTCTCTCCTAGAAATAAATAAAACATTTGAAAAAAAAAAAAAAAAGATGCCATAGGACCCCAGTACGGTTTCTGCGGGGGAACAGGAGTTAGAGTCGGGGGGGGCTTGGCGTGCTCTGTGCAGGAGAAGATGCCTGATGCCGGCTTCTGACCCCAGCTGTGCCTCTCAGTCTTGCTTCCGGATCTCCAGCCTCCAGCTCTGCAATTGACAAGATCACTGGGCCTGGGGACACCGTATCGTAAAATGCTAAACCGTTACAACAAAAAAAAAGTCTGTTAAACCTAACGAGGCTGAAGTTGGGGGCTTTTAAAACTGTTTGAAAGATACAGTAACGGAGGACCATGCACTTGGGGCTCTCTGTTCTGTGACTCAGCAGCTGCGATCTTGGGGCTGAAGGCGTGAATCCCGGAGCCAGGGTGCCCTCACGGGGCCCGGCTGGGCGCTGCACTTGGCCCCGGCCACTCCCTGTCCCCTTTGTATGGCGCAGAATGCTTTCAGGGGTAACCAGCACATTAGTGTACTGCCAGCGTTAACTCTTGTGAGCCCAAAATCTGGGGCGCCGGGGGGCTCAGTCGATTAAGCATCCAACTTCGGCTCAGGTCATCATCTCAAGGTTCCTGAGTTCAAGCCCTGCGTCGGGCTCAGAGCCTGGAGCTTCATTTGGATTCTGTGTCTCCCTCTCTCTGCCCATCCCCCACCCCATTCTCTCTCTCTCTCTCTCTCTCTCTCTCTCTCAAAAATAAACAGTAACAAAAATTTTTTAAAGAAAAAATAATGTTCAGCTTTCTACAATGGCAACTTTTCTCTAAGTGGCATGCCAGGTTTGGGAAGAAGGAGGTCACGGAGTTAGAAAACGTGTTTGAAACATAAAATCACAAAATATACCAAATCATGTGTGAGTGCCATGCAAAAGCCACCAAAAGGGTCAGTTGCTGTCATTCTGAGGACATCTGATCACTCACGGCGCCCGGCAGGGGCTAGCAGTGCCTGTGCAGAGACGGACAGAGTCCTTCTTCAGGGGCCCCCAGCCCCGAGAGTGCTAAGACACCAGGCGGCCGTGTCAGTCGGGAGGGAGAGCTGTGCTACGGGCAGGGAGCGAGGCATCAGACCCAGCGGCACAAATGCAAGGTGGGAAATGGGCCATTTCAAGGAAACAGAAGGAGGGGGAGATGCAGAATGCTGGCATTTTTGCAAAGTCAGAAGTGAGGCCAGGAGCCCAAGTCAGGGGTCTTCGCAGAGGCCGTGCCCACGCACACACACGGGACGTGGGACACACTCACACACACTCACTCACACACACACACGCACACAGCACACACATGCCACAGCCCTGGGTACCGCCTGTCGGCTCTTTGCCGCTCCCACAGACTCTGGCCACTTCCCTGCCACGTCCACGGCAGGTAGCCACGCGTGGGGGGTTGCTCCCCCGTCTTCCTGGCGGTCAGGCCTGGTGCGCACTGCGGTGCGGTGCGGGTCCCCGGGCTGAAGCAGGGGTCACACGAGGCGTCCGGGCCGAGTCACGTGCCCAAACCGGAACCACCTCACGGCCAGTTTCCTTCTCTGTCTTTTTGTTTTGCTTTGTTCTGAGCAAAGGGAGCTGGAATGTTACATGCTTGGTTTTAAAAGAAAAGTTACCATAATAATAATTTGTAATATAAATTATATTCTATTAACATATACATATAAATACTGATTTTAGCAGAAATAACGACCTCTAATCTGTGATGAATGGGCTTTGCTTATTCGCACTTGTGACCGAGGCCAGGTTTCTGTCTGCTGTCCCGTTTTCAAAGAAAGAAGTAAATCACAGAGAAAACAATTTGCATCAGGAATTTTCTCTGAAAAGCAAGCCGTGGAGCCAGACCTTAGCAGCCCAGTATTTACACACATGTTCACGCGCAGACCCGTGTTCTGATCCCATTGAGCGCTACCGTGTGACCCAACACGGGAAAGAACACCTTCCGTCCTCACGACTCCAGGGTTTGCTCAGACAGACTGAGTTTTTACTATGGAAAGATTGTCAACAGAACTTGAAAGAAAGGGAATTCAATTGGCCAGAAGTTTAGGCTGAGCTGACCTTTCCATCTGCCAGACGCCCTCAAGGTTTTCCCATACTTTTAACATTTTAGAAAATAGCAAGAGAGGAGATCAGAGAACACTGACTGTTAGGCGCACCGGGAGGAAGATGGCGTTAGGATGACGAGACAGAGCTGGCTTAGTCTGCTCTTCCCACCTGCCTGCCTCCCAGAACCCGGCCCCCTTTGCAGAGGTGGAGCCTGGGGCTAGCCCGTTTTTTCTTCTTTTATTTTTCAGAACGTGTAAAGTTGCCAGAAGTGAACATGATTTGTATGAAATTCTCGGGTTTGGGGCTTAAATTCGGGAGCCAGGCCCGTGTGAAGGGTTAGAGTCTTTCTGCACCCTTTTCCGCTTATGTGGAGGGACCCCGGCCTCCCTACCCGGCCGCAGAAAGTCAGGCTTCCAAGCAGCTTGAAAAAGCACCGCCGTTACTTCTGGCGCCTCTGCGTTCATAAATGAACCTGCTGGATGTTTGCCCAAGACCAAGCTTCCGTCAAAAGACAAGCGTGCGGCTGGAAGGTTCCTAGCAGCCTCCCGGCGGTGGCTGGAGCGCCCCTCACCCGCTCTCCCCCTTCGGTGCATGCTCACGGAACGCCTTTTCTCTTCATTTCTTTTTCTCTTTTAGCCAGAGCTACCTGCAAGCGGCAAGGGACGCGTCTGCTGCCCACAGCCTGGACCTCTCTGCCAAGTACAACTCCCCGAAGTTCCGCTCCCGGAACCAGAGCTACATGCGAGCCGTCAGCACCCTGAGCCAGGCCAGCTGTGTGAGCCAGGTTGGGAACCCTTCCCGCCCCCTGTCCCTCGGGCCGGTCTCTGGAGCCGCGTCCTCGCGCCACTCACCTGCGGGGGGGACGGCGGCCCGGCCCGCGTCAGGGGAAGGCGGTGAGCGCTCCTGGCGCGCCTGCCTGGGCTCCTCTGACGACAGACGCGGGAACTGCGTGACACTCGGTTCTCGACACCCCTGCACCGGCCTCCTCTGTGCGGGAGCGACGTGTCCGCCCTCTCGGTGGCCGGAGCCCACACTGCCCCCTTTCCCAGGAGGCTTCCCCGCCAACACGGGGCGGCCAGGCCCGCGACAGGCAGGCCCTCGGTGCCGCCCTCGCCGACGCTGGAGGCCCGGTGACGAGAGGGGAAAGCGACGGGTGGTGCTGGGCGTCCCCACGGTTGTGTCCGTCAGGCTCACCGGCTTCACACGCAGCCTCGGCGGGATCCGCGGCTCCGGGGGGGACAGCGGGCGCGGCTGCCAGCCAGGCAGGGACCCCAGCAGGCTCTCCGTCCTGCCCTGAGCTGTGCACACAAGACCCCAGGGCCAGCCTGGCACCTTCACGCCAGGTGCCAAGGGGCGATGCGAGCGGAACTTCTGTGTTTGACCAACAGGTTGCTTGCTGACTTCGGCTGCCTTTCCAGGCAGAGCCTGAGCGAGACTCGAGTGTGTGGGGTTCCGCCCGGGGCCTCCCTCCACCCACTGCAGAGCGGGAGTGGGGCTCCGTCGGGGCCCCCCTCGCCTCCCCCTCTCCTGTCACCCACTGCAGGGCAGGGGTGCGGCTCTCAAAGGCTGGCTCGTGTCCCCCCCTGCAGGGCAGGAGTGAGGCTCTCAGAGCCCGGCTCGCATCCCCCCTCCCCTGTCACCCACTGCAGGGCAGGAGTGAGGCTCTCAGAGCCCCGCTCGCATCCCCCCTCCTCTGTCACCCACCGCAGGGCAGGAGTGAGGCTGTCAGAGCTCGGCTCGGCTTGCATCCCGCTCCCCTGTCACCCATATCCCGTGAAATCCCCTAACTGCCGTGAACTCCTTTCCCATCTGTGGGGAGAGTAAGACACCGGCCTGGGTTGTAGGCAGAGGCGGTGCGGCACGCACAGCACACGGGGCGGCGGCTGGTGGGCGCTGAGTATGGCTGTGTGGAGGGGCCGCGGTGAGTCCTCAGTAAGTGACAGCCGTCAGGGCCACTGCAGGAGGAGCAGTCACAGTGGCCGTGATTAAGGATGCTGGAGCGGCCCTGCTCACACACGCGGGGAGCCCTCGGCAGCCTGCAGGGCTCGGATTCGTGGAAGGCTGCCGGGCCACGGGCTTTGCCGGCCTCATACGGCCGGAGTCTGCTCGTTTTACCGCTGTGTTTCTCACCAGAACACCGTACTCTGCATCCCTTGTACTAGCCTGTCCCACGACCGAAGAAAGACGTCACCTCGCACACAACTCAGAGGCGATTTTCCTCTGAAAACAGGATGAGGTTTCCATCCGTCGCAGAGAGAAACCCAGTGACCCTTTCCCCCAAGACAAGGAAAGGGCCATTCCTGGTCTGTAACCAGGCCGCCCTGGCCGTAGCCCGGAGCCCCGGCCCTGGGCGGACAGAGACGGTGGGCCTCCCCGCGTCCGAACTCAAATGCCCTTGCAAATAATAATAAAAACGGCAATAACAACGAGGTGGCAGCACCTCGATTGCCATGGTTATCGGATTAATTGGGGACACACCCCGTGTCAGAGCAAAGCCCAAGGTGGCGCTAGGAGATAGTGACTAAAGAGCGTCTGCGCACAGGGGCGCCCTCCCCACGCTCCCCTGCATCTGGAGAAGGAGCCGCACGCACCCCTGTCCTGAGAGGCCAGCTTCCCTCCCACTTCCAGCACCCGCGTCACCAAAGTGCGGCCTCAGGGTCAGCAGGGACGAGGTTTGCACCGCGGACGGGGTGGTGCCTCCACTTTCTTTTTCTTCTCTGAGTACAGTCGACATGATGTTACCTTAGATTCGGGCTACAGCCTAGTGATTTGACTCGTGCATGTTACGGGGAGCTCACCACTTGTCCTGTCACGTCGCTGTGACACTGTAGTTGTAACAGTGCCTTTCATTCCCGGGACTCGCTCACTCCATTAGAAGCTTGCACCTGCTGCCTCTTCACCCATTTTCACATCCCCCACCCTGTCCCCGGCAACCACGTTTGTGCCCCACGTTTACGGTCTGAGTCTCTTCCTCCCCGTTTTCACTTACTGTCAACAGACAGATCTCAGCTGAACGCACAGCGCACCTCTTCAGAATCTGGCCGTTCCCCTGGGGCTCCTCAGACACGTGGGCCACATACTGCCCTCAACTACACGTGCTCTTGGTGACCCCAGCTGGGGCTTCCAAACGTGTCACGCCCTCACGCCGTTCTCTGCTGAAAGCATTCGTCACTGTAAATTACAGCAAGAGTAGACCAGTTGGCTGTTTGGGGTTTTACTGATTTGGATGACTTTGACATTGGGAATGCTGGGTCGTTCCGATGGATGCGTTCTAGGCGAGGACTTTAAATTGCGCTCAATTTTTAATTCTGAAAAAAGCATATATTTCCTTAGGATACTCCTGGCACCTGGTGGTGGGGCCGATTCTCACGTGGGAACCAATCTGTAGTAATTGTGTGTCGGCCCCTGGCCAGTGCTCTCCACGCGGTCAGGGAGGAAGAGGCAGCTCCAGGCAATCGAGGACGATGCCTCGGGGGTGAGGCATCGGGGAACCCCTCAGTGTCCCTGAGACGATTGAATCGGTCGCTAAGCGGCCAGAAGTTCACCTTCAACTCTAATACTCAGTGTCTTTCGAGCGCAAACGTGAAATTAAAAGTCTAACTGAGCCTGTGAGACTTGCTGTCTTGTGCTGTGAGTTGAACTTGAGTCGTTGAGCTCTCAGGTCTGGCTTCTCTGAGCTCATGACCCCGGGAAGAGCCCACATAGGTGTTTGGGGGCTCTGGGCTGACGCCCCCGGGTTGCTAGCGGTGAGTGTCCGGGGCGGTAATAGTACATGCGCACTTCCACCTTCTCATCCACCAGCTTGAGGGACAGAATTGGTTTTTAACCATGAAAGTTCTTCCTGGAGGAATCTGTCTGAAAATGCTGGAAACGCACAGTGGATGTGTTGCCGTTGGGGAGCCGTGGGCGTGACCCCGAGGCTGCCTCGGCGTGGACGAGCCGTGAGCACGGGCCACTGGGCCATCTCATCGGCGCCGACCTTTCCTTGGCTGTTTCTTACTTAGCTCCCTGGGATGCACCCGTGTGCCGGCGCCCCTCCGCCTCCCCAGCCAGGACCTGCAGTGGTTTTGTTCTTCCGATGGCGCCCCTGCCGTCTCAGAGAACACAGCCGGCCTCCGCCTCTCGGCTGCACCGCCCCAGCCACGTGCAGTGTCTGTGTGGCTGAGTCTAACCTGACACAGAAGAACGCCCACGGTCCGCACATCCTGGAAAGGCACGCAGAGCAACAGACTTGAGGACCGCCTGACCCTCCGTCATCCGGTGAATGACAGTGTGACGGTGCCGTGGTCCCCATCACTGCTCTGGGCTCTGCCAGTGAATGTCACCCGGGGGCCACCCTGCAGGGTGTGACCACGTGGCTTCCCAGCCACATGCACTGGAGCTCCTTGCCGGCTGCTCAGGGACTTGGGGACACACGGCAACGAGGGAGGACCCGGGTCTCAAGGCAGCACCCGCCTGACAGCCGGGCAGAGCACGGGTCCGTGTCTACGCCGGGCACATCCACGGGCGCCCACAGAGACAAGCGCGGCCCCCCAGCCCCGTGCTGCCGGCCTCCCTCCCGTCCCCCCGTCCCCACCACACCGAGCAGCCACTTTCTGTGTCACCTCGTCACCTTCCCACACCCCACGTGGAAGGCCCGTGTCCCACCCGGGGTCACAGAGCCACACGCCTGGGGTCAGGTGCTCCTCTGAGCCCCAGCCCCTCCAAGCAAGCTGCAAGGACATGTCCCTGTTCGCTCTTGGGTGTGAAGTGGCAGGTGGGGCCGGGTCCCCAGACCTCGCCCGGCTCCTCAGGCAGGGGAAATGGAGGCCCCGCACGGAGGACTTGCACCCCAGGACGCACGGTCGCGCTGCAGCAGAGCCAGGGCCCCTTAGCGTTAGTGGAATCCCGGCCTCCAGCCAGCGGACCCTCCCCCCTCCGTCCTGCCTCCTTCTGCCCTCAGCGTCGGGCGGCCCTGACGGGTTTCTGGTCGTCCACAGTCGGGGCGGTTCTGACAACCCCCCCGCTTCCTGGAGGCGGGAGATGGGGCTGGGGGTCTGCGCGGCGGGGACGGTGGGACCTCTCCGCCCTGGCTGAGGAAGGACCCTGCCCTCCACGGCTTCCCGCCATGCCGCTGTCTCGCGGCCCCTTCTTTCTCTTCCTCTTTACAAAGCTTCCCTGCACTAGGATCGCCCCTCCCGTCACGCCTCCTCTTGTGAAAAGCGCTGGTGAGAATCCCTAACGCAGCTTCCCGTCGTGAGCGTGTTGAGGTGTGCAGCTCAGCGGAGCTCCGTGCACGGCCCGAGCCGCCCCGTCGCCGTCCCTCTCCAGGACTCTCCCGCCCGGCCCCTGCCCCGCGCCACCGTGTGTCTCCAGCGAGGTGACAGGGACCTGTGCCGCTGGACTCGCACGGCGTCTTCCCTCAGACGACCGGCTTCTTCCCCAGCAGAGGTGCCTGCGGTCCGTCCGCACCGTCGCAGGAGTCGGAACCCGCTCCGTCTTCACGGCTGAGTACCAGCCCCCACGTGCACGTGCGTTTACGCATATCCGTCCGGCTCAGTCCCTGTTTCCGATTGTCACGGATAAATGCCCCCGAGTGGCCTCGCCGGACACGGTGCCTCTGCCTTTAGTGTCTGGAGGCACCGCCGCCCTCTCTTCAGCGTAGCCCCGCTGGCCGCACGCCGGGCCGGGCCTGCTCGCCCCCGTCGGGACCACTGCACAGCCGCCCCCGCTCTGCCACAAACAGGACGGCCCCCTGTCACCTCCCCTCCTCCCAGCCTGCCCTGTGTTGGCTCCTCGGTGCCACGTTCTCCGGAAGCAGGTCCGGTTGCGTTTCTGAGTTTATGGTTCACAAAGGAAGACAGAGGAAGCTTCTGGCCACACTGGTTGTTTCCACAGCTTTTACCCCCTTGGCTTAGCGCCCTCCTGGGATTCCCGGGGACCAGGCCAGGGTTTGAGTCCCCGCGATGGCAGCCGCCTCCGCCAGCGGCCCTCAGGCTCGGCGAGCGCCCCAGCTCTCAGAGCGCAGGCCGTTTCAGCTCCTCTCCGGGCCCAAACTTGGGATCCTTCTCAACTCCTTCTATTTCTGTGAGAGGAACAAGCTGCCTTCGTTTCTAGAACCTCACGGGTGTGATTCAGTAGCTGTAAGTACTAGCCAAGTGGCCCTTGCTGAGATTTTAGCCTTTAAAATGCACGAGCAGCTTTGACACTTTCCTGCGTCAAGGCCGGAGCCCCTGGCCCGCGGAGGGCCTGCGGGAGGGCGTGGGCGAATCCCCGCGGCCAGGTGCGGGGGGCGTGCGCGCCGTCACTCACGGTTTGGCCTTTTCAGGCTGTGTAACGTGGGTCTTTGACATAATGACATAAAACGATCTGAGGCTTCTTGACATCATCCCCATGAGGGAAAGCAGAGCGTAAGGAATGTGGAGGCAGAAAACGTCGTGTGTCCAACAGCAGGGGTGTGTCCCACCGGCTCCGTCCCTGGGCGCGTGAGGCTGTCACGGCAGCAGGGTCGTGCTGTCCTGACCCTGATCCGCCTGCCCCTCCAACTTCAGAAACCCTCACACGGGTTTTCCTCTGGTCTTTCCTGCCGATGGGACCCAGAGCCTCTCCTCCTCACGCGGGGGTCAGGCGGCCGCCTTTGTCCCCCTGCGCTTTCCTCCACCGTCCCAGCACCAGACACGGCTCAGGCTCGCGTGTCAGGAGCCCCGGGCGGCGCCAGACGGCCACGGCCAGGTCTGCAGTCAGCGGTTCTGGAAGAAAGTGGTTTGCTTTCCTGTCAGAGGGGAGCTGACTTCCTCGCCTGCTTCCGCCCTGCGAGCAGGCAGGGACAGGCACGAAGCTGGCGTTTCCAGCAGACGTTTTTGTGGGCCAGCGTCACCCAGGGAGTTGGGGGTGCTGGGTGGCCCTCCAGCGGTGCGACGGCACATTCGGGTGTAAGGGGTGGACACAGGTGCCGGACCCAGGCCGGACGACGGCAGCGGGGGCTGGGCGTGGAGAAGCCTCCCGAGAAGGAGGGCGGCGGCCCCGGGGTGGCCTGGGTGCCTCCGCTCCCCCAGGGCAGGAGGGACGGCGGAGGTCACAGGAGGTGCCGGCTCAGCCCTCCCCGCTCCCTGTGCACTGAGCCTCTGCTCGCCGCACAGCCTGCCCCAGCCTCGGCGGGCGCACGGGGATTTCACCACGTGTCAGCCCACGCGGGGTCCCCCCGAGGGGTGCGCCCAACACAGAGTGACAGGGAGGGCTCATGTATCAAGGTCCTTTCAGCCTAACAGGGGACCCGCCCCGGAGCCCCTGACCCGGGAGCTCCTGTCCTCAGGCGGCGACTGGCTGAGCCCGTAAGCTTTCCTTCCCTGAAGTCTCCTCTGTCCTGCACCCGGTCTCCCCACCCGTCTTCTGCGCGCCTCCCTTCGCTGGGCTCCCACGTGAAGCCTGTGGGTTTGGCTCCTGGGAAACGCATGAGGACCCCCACCCGGCAGCCGCAGGAAATGCGTGCCCGTGCCCGCAGTCCCTGAGCCCACGCAGAGCCCCTCCGGCCGACCCGACGAGCGCGCCCGGTGTGCCCGGCACCTGCCACCCTGCGCCGGGCCAAAGCCGTGGTATTTTCTTAATACATTTGGAACCTTAGGTCCCCAGGGTGACTCTATTCCCGGAAACTAAATTGCAAGCTTGAAAATTATTACTGCACCAGCTAAATTATCAAACAAGTGAGCGTCCTAACATCCCAGGCTGAGCAGTGGCACGGCCGGGACGCACGTGATGCAGCCTGTTAACTAACGGACAGACCGCCCTTCCCCCCCCAGCTGCACTCGCGGTGCGTGGCCTCCTGGGGAGAAGGAGATGAGCTTCTTGCCAGATCTGTGCTTGGCGTCCATGACGATGCGTAGAGGCGGGCTCAGCACCCAGGCGGGGGCAGCCTGGGACCCTGATGGAGGCGCCGGGGTCAGGACGGAGGGGCCACGCGTGTGCTCACTGCCCGGGGCCACGCTCCACCCGCGCCCTGTGTCCGAGCCACTCCAGCAGGCCACCCTTGCAGCCTCCCTTGGGGGCCCTCAGAATTTCAGTAACATCTTGGCAGTGACCATTTTTCACAGTGTTTGTGAGAAATAACCCAGTGAGAGCCATTCCCTAAGCTTAATGGAGCCCCAAGGCCGGTTTCAAATTAACTCTGCTGAAGAGAGAGCTCCCGAAGGCTGGCTGCTCTCTCTCGCTCCCCTGTGACCTGGCCACGACCCCCAGCCGCGTGGCGCCGTCACCTGTGCCTTCTTGTTGCAGATGAGCCAGGCCGAGATGAACGGGCAGTTCGAGTCGGTGTGTGAGTCCGTCTTCAGTGAAGTCGAATCCCAGGCCATGGACGCCCTGGACCTTCCCGGATGCTTCCGGACGCGCAGCCACAGTTACCTCCGAGCCATCCAGGCCGGTTACTCCCAGGACGATGAATGTATTCCCGTGATGACGCCCTCCAACACCACCTCGACCGTCAGATCCGCAGCAGGTAAGACGGCCCTCCCGCCCTTCCTGCTGAGAAGTGTGCAGGGGCGCGGTCTTCATCCGAGAGCAGCAGACGTGCCTTCACCACAGACGCCATATGCTCTCCAAACATTTGGTAACTTCCCCAAACGCCTCTTGTCCTATTTTCCTGTTTGCAATGGTCTTTTGAAACATTTCTTTCATCGATAACCTTTCTTTTTCTCAGAATGCAATCTCTTAGTTATCAAAGTTCTTGAAAATAGTGAAGTATAACTTCTCTGAAGTCTTCTGCAGGAAGAAAGTTTAAGGGCTGACATTTGGGAAGTGGCTGTGCTTTAAATACCAAGGTCCAATGGATGCAGTAGAGCTCAAGGACGTGGGGGCGCCCAGGCTCCCGCACCCCCTGGGCCACAGCTCACGGACGTGGGGGCGCCCAGGCTCCCGCACCCCCTGGGCCGCGCTGCATGTCTGCCGCGGGGTGTGCAGATCCGCAGGCCTGGTTCATGGCCCGGAGCAAGTCCTTCCTTCCTAGAAATTCACTCCTCATCCCCTTCCAAGTCACGGTGTGCTTCCATTCTTATGGAAAACCACATCCAGCCCCCTGAAAATTTACTGCCTGAACGAAATATCGGCACCGATATTTCACTGCACTGTGACTGTTGCTGTAACGCAATGAATATACATGGCCTGGAGAAGCCATAAAACAAGGCCAGCAATAAACGTCCACCAAGCCCCACGTAAAAGCCAAGCAGAGTCAGAAACGGGCAGTGTCGGGAGCAAGGTCGTCTGAACACTGCCAGAGGCAGAAGTGGTGGCACGTCAGAGCCGGGAAGGGGCACGTCTGAGAAGAGAGCTGGGGGGTGATGAGGAGCAGGGTGGCAGGAGGCGGGGGGACCCGGGGCAGCTCAGGGAGGGCCGTCCCCACCCCATCAACAGCACGCAGCCTGCCTTCCAGACACACCGGGAGAAGACGGCAGGTGATGGGCCAGGCCCCTGGACGCCAGCCTCGTGCGGTGACGCCAGCCCTCCAGCAACTCAGCTGGTGGCCTTGCTGAGTCTCGGTTTTCAGAAGCAGTGGGAGCTATGAGTTATCTATCAAAAAGGGCGTGTGTGTGGGGGGGGGGTCCTCAGCGATCTTGGGTGGCTCGCGGGCACCCTCGTGGGGGGTTGCTGACACTTCTTGACCGTGGAGCCTTTGGGTGTTTAGAAGAGGCGCGCAGGACCATGGGGTGCTGTGACCCCAAAGCACTGCACTGTGGGGACTGGGGGGCGGTGCCGTGGGCGTGTGCCATGCGACATCTGTGGGGCTGTGACTGTCAGTGACGTGCCACCACGGCGAGGCTTGTGGGCGGTGGGGCTGAGCCTCCGGGCCTCCTCCTGGGTGCCCGGTACCTTAGGAAGTCCGTGACTCCCCTCGGCGAGGCCATGACCGCCCCCGACGCCCTTATGAGCTTTGCGTTCAGTGCAGTTTAACAGGTGCACTTTCAGAGATCTTCGCTCATCTACTCGCCGGTATTTGTCGAATGTCTCCTGTGAGCAGGTGACCATTCGGCGCTCTCGCGGTCTTCAGGAACGTTTTGAAACAATAATCGCCTGGCAGAAAACAACTGTTGTGTTTGTCGTCACGGGGAGAATGCGACAACACAGCTTTCACAGAGACTGTGCAAGAAGCAGTGGAGCTCAGACCGAGATTCCAATCTGTGTCCTTTTCCCAAATACATTGTCGTGTTCCCAAAGTGTCTGCCCCAAAACTTGCTTCCGTCCAACGCTCCTGCCAGACCTCAGCCCGGTTCCTGAGCCGAGATCCCCTCCCGGCCGGGATCCCCGGGAGGGTGCCGGGTTGGGGAAGGGTCTGAGCGCCGGGGAGGAAGGGCAGCAAGGCGCTGGGAGAGACTCCAGCACGTTCTGCTAAAACGGAAGAGGAGCCATGAGTCCGCCGTTTCCGGTTTTACCCTAAGCGCCGCGTGTATTGATAGTCTCGCTTCCTGGATAGAACTGGGTGGGTGTGCAGCCAGTGTTGCGTTAACGAGGTTGAGGAAAATGCCAAAGGCATGAAAAATCTGTATCATAGGAAAGCAAAAGTATGGGGGAAAACACCCGACGACACAGGATGTGACTCCCGCTAAGCCCCCGATCAGATCCGGAGCTTCGTGTCGGGAGACAAGTGCGATCTCAGTCATTTTGTGTAGGAACCTTGGGACGATCATAGAGCGACGTGACATTTTGTAGTTACTGTTCATGGGTAGGTGTGTACGTGTCTGTGTGGAGAGAGAGACAGATTATTTTGACAAACTGATTTTCTCTTATGGTTCTTAAACTCTCTCTTGAAAATAATTCCAAAACAAGCTATTTTCAAAATCATTCACAGCGGTTATTTGGCGTCTCGGATTCGTTTAAGTGTGTTTCTTCTCCCGGGCTTGCCAAGTAGAAGCGGCTGTCGCTCAGCTGTCTCCCCTCGAACAAGTACAAACATGTAATTTTAACATGCATCTAGTAATCAGTAAGTATCAAGTATATGCATGAAAGGTTTATTAAGAATGTTGAAATATGCATGAGACATTCTACTTTAAACACTGCCAGGAGTGGGCAGCTGGCTTAGGGCCGCTGGAGGTCGCCTGTCTTCTGCCTCGGCCCATAAAGGCATGTGGACATTTAGCCGAAAAAGAGTCCGTTTCTGTGCCATCCGGGAGCCCCGGTGGGCTGAGACCACGTGCTTCCCCTCCACTGTCTCTTTCATTATGAGAAACACACCTATCGATTAGTGTCCCGTCCTTAAATGAAGTGGTTTTCAAAACATCTAACTTTCATTTCACACATGGTTTCCTTCTCGTCGGTGAAATGATTTATCAGAGAGATTTACTTGTCTAAATATGCATTTCACCCGATTTTTATAAGGAGAGAATGTCATTGATATCGTGGAGGAAAATGCTGTAACATTAGATGATAATGATTTTTCTCTGGGTCAAAAGTTCTTTCAACAAGTGTCACAACTGATTCTAGAAGCCATTAAAACAAAGGGAAAATCCATACAAAGTGTGATGGAGGAAACAGCCATAAATTTATTTTTATTCTGTTGTTTGTATTTCGATAGTAACCTGTCCCTCGGGGGCGCGTCAGTCTGTCTCCAGGACACCCCGGCTCGTGGGGTTTGACGCCCCCCAGCCCCGAGGCCCTTCCCATCTCCCACCAGGCCTCCCTCCCTGACTCTGGCCCCTCGACTCCCTCACATATGGGCCCGTGATGCCATCGGGCCCACACAACCCAAGGCTGGCGTGTAAGGTGACGTAATTGTGGTCCCGGAGATTAGCATGTGGACATCTGGGGCGTGGGCATCCACTCCACCCTAGCGGGGCAGTTATATCGTGATGGTAAATACTGGCTGGGTGCGTGCATGATGGACGGACAGACGGACGGGGTCTTCTCTGGCACCGAGCCAAGAGTAAGTGCTGCTGGTCTCCCTCTGGGTCACACGGAAGCGTGGGGCACCCATTGCTCTGTCGGGCATATGCTAAATCCTCCTGCGGACGGAAAACCAAATGCCGCCGAGGCTCCCAGACGGGTGTCGTGAAGCCCCTCGCCTGTGGCAAGGCGCCACGGAGGGCTCTCTTCCACACTCTCCCGGGACCAGGGGTCCTGGAAAGTCACGTCTCCGACCTCATTGCCACATTCGGCACCTGAGGTGTAGGGACAAGTGATGAAGACTGGGACGTCGCCAAGAAGGCCACGTGCTCCTTCCTGGATCCGAGTGACCCTTGCCCGCGTCTTAGACACGTGCACCCATCCGCTCACCCACAGTGCGAAGGCAGCGTAAGTGACCCCGTCACGTGGCCCAAACTTGTCAAAGGGATGAGTCCTGCTGGGACCAGCTCACAGCCCAGGACTCTCACCAAACGACTGGCTGCCACTTACCTCCGTGAGTCCATCTCTTGCCTAGAGTAGGGGGTGTGTTTGGAGGGTACAGGGGCGTGGTGGCTCAGTCAGAGACCCACGCAGGGTACCTGGTACCGCCATCGTGATAGCAACTGCCACCAGTTACTCAAACGTGTAGTTAACTCCTCGTGAGGAAACCAGCCAAATCGGCCGCTTCACAGCCTGTCACCGGAGGATCCAGGGAGTGGACAGGAAGCAGGTGCCTGACGCATAAACCCGTAGCTGAGTCGGGGAGTCATCCAGCCGCATCGTGGGGACCGCGGAAGCCGCTTCGCGCATCTGTGACCGGCCCACACGCTCCGCCGCGTCACCCCTCTGTGCTGCACGCCATGGCGTGCTCCCCTGGGCCTCCGCGCGGCCTTCTAACCGGCCCCCCGATGGGACTCCGCATCCGCTCTCCCCCACACACCCCGCACTCTATGATCTTTCTAATAATATGGCCCCCCCAAAACTAATAGAACAGAGTGAAATACAGCATCAGTTACAGCCCGACCAAGACGTGCCCGCCGGGCACCCTCCCTCCCTGGGCTTCCTGTTAGCAGCGAGCAAAGGTCCGTCCCCCGTGGGGCTGTCAGACCCCAGACGACCTGCCCCAGGCTCGCCCCCCAGCTGCCCGTCCCCTCTGCTGGTGCAGCTCTCCTGACACCCTCTGGCTGCCGACGTTTTGCGTATGCTCTGCCCAGCCCAGAACTCACCCCCCTGGTTTTCTTGATGTAATTCCTCGCTGTGCCTCAAGATGCAACTCTGAAATCCTTTCTTCCAGGAAGCCTTCCGTGATTCATTCTCCTTCTAATCAGTTTAGGTGCCACATAAACTCCTTACTCCCTACTCACTGATCAAACAAGTTCCAAGAAAAAAAGCATTTATTGAAACAAAGAAATCCCAGCTTTTATTTATTTTTAAAATGGACTTCCCTTTTAAAGATGTAGAGATATTAGATGCCCAAAACTTGAGGCTACAGTTATAGTCACTATTTTGTATACTTACAACATCTCATAAGTATATATTAAAAACATCAATACTGTGGCTTTTATTCCTTATAACATGTTAGTTTAAAAAGGATTATATTGAGACAAGTTATTAAAATTCATACAA